GAGGGAGAAACTCCACCACTCCATACTTGCTCCAACCATCCCAAAGATACTTTTTTCTATGGTGGAGCGGGACAGAGAGAGAGAAAGGAAGGGTTTTCTAGCCTCATACCCACTCCACTCTCATTTTTAAATATAATTGACTGTTAACCTATATAATAAATAATTATAATTAAAATTTTTATATTCTATTTAAAAATTATGAATTTAAAATTTATTAATAATATAAATCTTATCATTTTCTATAAATTTATAATAATTAATCTATAATATTCAATAAGTAAAAACTTAATTTATTAATGTATATTAAAATTGCACTATCAAAATTGTGTTAATCTTAATAAATTTATTATATTTAAAAAATATATATATCTTGAAATTAAGATAGTCACAGAAAGTTAAACTCACTTTAATTTTTTATTCTTTTAAAAAATATATATATATTGTTGGCAGGACAATTTTTTAAACGGTTATCACTGTGATAGTACCATTTTTTTTAATATTTATCCAGTTTTGACAATTTTTGACACGTAGAATTTATTTCGTACAGTATTGCTATTGAAATGATACAATATGTACCATGTACTGTGAACCAGTACACAATTAAATTTATTGGTTTGAGTAGAATTTATTTTATTTTATTTTAGAAACTGATTTTGAGATGAGCCGAGAATTTCAACTGTATGTTTCTGCACCTCTCATGTTGATAATCATAACCGAATTGAGAGAAGCTTGATCCCAGCAAACTAAGTTGAACTGCATACCAAAAATTCATTTCTACTGCGTAGATCCTGGGAGACCCAGAACAACTAATTGGATAGAGAATCATACAGATACCTTCCCTCATATGATGTAACCAAAACAATTGAAGGGAGAACATGAGAAAGGACCAAAAAGAAATAATTCCCTGCTATACCCCCTTTTTACATACGGCTCCCACAAAATCATATGTACTGGATTACAATGGATTTTAACAAAAAATGCTTACATCCTCAGCCTAGGAATGAGGCAAAAGGAGAGGTTCCAAAGCGATTAAGCAACCACAGGTCCAAGTCAATACTCTTCTAGACACCTCAACAAGGATCACAACCACGATTTAGTATCATCTCTTGCAAGAACTGACAGTGAGCTGCCTTTCGGTTTCTCTGCTAATTTCATAAAGCAGGTAATAATGTTCCAATGCAGAAGTTAACTGGTGGTAAATCATCTGATCTTTCCTAGTTGTAGATTTTTACTGGTTTCTCAAATGTATGACGATTCTGCAGAATTTAGTTAAGGTCATCAAGGAGAATTCAAATAGCATTGTAAAATTTCTCATCATCCTTGCTAAAACTGATAACTCATTCATCTGATTGCCTGTACAATCAGTTAAGGCCTTCAATGTATTAAATCCATAAAACAAGAGGACTTTCCTTGTATATTGAACATTCAGACAATCCGCACCAAGGGACCAGCTTGGATAATGCAACAGGAGTATAGAATTGAACTCCTGAGATTTTTTTCCCCTTTTCAATGGGGTTGTCATTTATCAGTTCTAAGAACGTTTTATTTTAGTTGATAATTCACATCACTATTGTCATTATCATGCCCTTGGATCCCTATATCCAAATCAAGTAATAGTTTGCAGCAGTAAAGCAATACAGATAATATTGTAAACGAGAAGAAGGCATTTTCAGCACAGACCAAGGTGACATAAGTAAGGGAGATATAAGTACCTGGTTTGCTGCAAATGACCTTTTAGGGGCATTGTCAGAATGTTCCAGTCCAAGGTACTGGTCCCAAGCACCATAAATATCCCTTCTCTGAAAATAGATAAAAGATAAATGGATCCACCATACAACGGAAGACAAGTGTGCATAGATATACAGCATCTGCACTCAGTATCTATGCTATGTGCATTTGTTTTTTTTTTTTTTGTTTTTGGAGTGGGGGAGGAGGAAGATGTATAGAAAGAAAGAGAGAAAGAACACACACCTGAAATTGACAAGACACAACATCGGAGTCCTGAAGGTATTCTGGCCGACCCAATGACAAAAATGCAAATTTCCACTGAATGAACAGAAAAATATACTCAGAGAACTAGACCAATATCCTTTGTTCTGATAAAAACATAAACATACAAGTTTTGCTTTCTACAATACGACAATATGTATGGAAAATGTACCCTTGAAAACATATACATAAAACATTTAGTTTCCACAATTCGACAAGAATTGCATATGTATA